TTTTACCTACTTTGGGATTGTCTGGGTGATAGGTCAGAATAAATGGTATCCTATCAACCTTTTCTTTCTGTCCATATCTGAGTAGGTCATCACGGTTTGTTTGTTTGGCCCTTTGGATTGCCTCCGCAATCGGGTCTTTGTCGTAGCCTCGGTAAATTAATTGTTTAGCCAGCTCTTCAGACCTTTCTAGGAATCTTTCATCGTCGAAGCAAATTCTGCGTATCCTCAGTGCCTGGCTATATGGAATGTTCTTAATGCAGTGTTTTGGATGACAGCTGGTTGGGAGAAGATACTGATGTTTGTCGGTTGGTTTCGAGTAGATGTCTGTGTGTAATTTGTTTTTGAACCAGTCTGGTTGTTGTGTCCAGGAAAACATGGTTTGAGTTGGAAATTTCTGCCGTGAATTTTATTGAAGGATGGAAATTGTTTGCCTTTGATATGAAGTCATCCAGACTTTCTCTTCCATACTGCCACTTCATTTCTATATCATCGATAAAGCGTACCCACTGGTATGAAGTACGCTCAACCGAATCTAAGAGCTTTCCCTCAAGTTTTCCCATGAAAATGTTAGCATACGAAGGGGCCATTTTAGTACCCATTGCAGTTCCATTGATTTGTAGGTAGTTTTCTTCATTAAATTCAAAGTTGTTGAGTTTTAGGACAAGCTCCAGGAGTTGGATTAAGAAGTGTGTGGGTGGATTGTTTACAGTTCTTGTTTCCCATGCTTCGCTACATGCCTGTAACCCTTCGTTGTGCGGTATGTTGGTGTACAAAGATGTGACGTCTAAGGAAGCAAGTAATGTATCTGGCAGTAATGGTTCACTAGCTTTGCTTTTTATGAGATAATCTGTCGTGTCTTGAAGATATGATGGTAATTTGTGGACATGTGGTCTCATAAAATGATCTAAATATTCTGATATCCTTTCTGTGGGGTGCCCGTTACCTGAGATTATAGGTCTGCCAGGGTTCCCTTGTTTGTGGATTTTGGGTAGAAGATAAAATCTACCTGCTCTTGGGTTTTCTGGGCTTAAGTAGTTTTTGGTTTGCTGGTCTATGTGTCCGCTTTGGTACGCCTCGTCAATAACATTAGTGATGATTTTTGCATATTCCAGCGTTGGATCATGGTCCAGTTTTTGGTAGAACCTATCGTCACTTAGTTGTCTACTTGCTTCACTAATGTAGTCTTCCCTATTCATAACGACAACAGCGGAACCCTTATCTGCAGGCTTAATTATTATGTTTGTTCTGCTTTTCAGTGAGTGCAGGGCATCTGTTTCTTCTTTTGTCAAATTAGAATATTTGTTAGTATGGTTGATATGTCTGGAAGTATCGTTTTCAACCGAGTTGATAAAGGATTTGAACTTTTTGGTGGGGTCCAGTTACTTTTCTTTGTAAATGTGGGTTGGTCGCAGCTTATATTTTCCTTTGATTTGTTTGGTGGTTGCAAGGCAAAATGGGCTTTGAGTCTTAGTCGGCGGATGAATTCTTCGGTGTCATTCTTAAGCTTCCCTCTGTCGTATGTTTTTGGACGGGGACAGAAACTCAAACCTTTCGATAAAAGTTTTATTTCTGCATCAGTAAGTTCTAAATTGGAGATGTTGACTACTGTTTTAGTAACAGTTGCATTAGTGTTTGTTACAGAGAGCTTGCGATTCTTCCTTTTGCGGCGATTTTTCTTCTTACGGTTGTTTTTGGAAGAAATTTTGTCAATTGAAGTTTCTTCACAACAGTCCTTTGGTTGTAGATCATGACTTCTAAATTTTCGATCTCTGACTTTGTATGGTTTCGAAGAGAGTCTTTTTTCATCTTTATTTAATTTGGAGTAAAACGTTTTCAATTGTTCTTCTTTTGAGACGGAATTGAGCTGATGTTTTAGTTCTTCAATGGTTGCTGATTTGGCTAGATATTGATGATTTACGTTTTCACTAAGTAGGGCTGTGAGTTTCATGGAAGCGTCGTGAGTTATTTTATTCCATCTTTTGTTCAATCTGTTTGAACTCTTGCCAATAATTTGCGGTTTCACATGAATTTGAAGACCTTTAGTGACTGTATTTGTTTCGAGGAAATGATGCAAGAATGTGCAATGATGCTTTAGGCGAATTAAAGCATTAGTTTCATTGCGTAAAGTTTTGAATGTTTTCTGTATTTGTTGAGACATCGTCTCCATTCTAAGAGATACGGCAACAATTTAAGTATAAGAAGGAAACAAGGGAACGGATACAGTAGCACTACATAAATACAAGACCGAAAAGGGTGTTAGATCACACCAAAGGTAGATCGAGCCATACGAGGTAGGTAATATAAAGAATACAAATCATATGGCGAATAACAACCCTCTCAAGCGTACTGGATCCACCAAGGGATCACGTTTATTGCATCTATTTTAAATAATCCCTGACACACGTTGCCCATGGTTCGATTCTCGAGAAAGGCAAATGCTTTCAGGAGGCGATTTTAAACCAAGATTTAGTATTCTTTTGGGGCTCCGCCCCGTCTTCATGTCTGTACACCAATCCACTATGTCAGCTCATGTTGGATTTACTTTTGTCAATCACCCTTGGATTCATCATAGGAGTTGGTTTGCGGGCGTGAATACGGCATTTCTTTATATCATCATCATCCATCATCATCATCTCATCAAAAAATATGTAGCGGGAGGTGATATGAGGTTGTGACCTTGTGACTTCACCAATGGGGTACCCCACAAGGTGCCATTTCGAAAGACACAATCGCAAAACTAAAAATAAACCTATTGAGGTCAGGTCACACAGACCATCAGCCTTTGAGTTCCTAGAGCTTCAGTTTCGGATGTCCTAGGAACTCTTGCAAGGCATAAACATAATCTGATTGGTCACTAAAGACACAGACGTGCATAATCAACCCTTTGGGTTCCTAGAGTTTCAGTTTCGAATGTCCTAGGACCTCTTGTAGGTGTATAAATGTACACATGCGCAGACAAACACTCTGAGTCTCTCAAGTTTCGTTTTCGAATATTTATGGGTTCTCTGGAGGTAAATGTCTGCACAAGAATCTCATTAGGTTTATCTGATCAACTATGGAATGGTAGATCGAATATCAACTCGCGCTAGATATGTTTGCTTATTTTAATATTAAATATATTTTTTATTATATAATGAATTTTGAAAAAATTAATGGCATTGTTTCTGCTATTAAAAAATTAAAACATAACGGTATCAATGTATCTGAAAATTTTAATGCTGAAAATTTCAATATGATTGTGACTAATAAGTACATAGTAGTAGAGATGATTGATGCATCAGAGACACCTCAACCATAAAACGTATTTTTGTTCAGAAAATGTGTTATTATTTTGAGCTAATAAAGGCCGCTGACAAAAATGTTAACGTACAACGTTGTTCTTTTTTTTTGGGTGGGAGGGTGAGGGTCTCAATCCTCTCTACTACTTATATCATGCAATGCAAAGATTGAAATGATATTTTCAATATAACAAATCTTTGAAAAGAATAATTATAAAGATATTCTAAAGGAATCCAAATGTCAAATAGAAGCTGGGCATTTTAAAAAATTAAGATTATCACTACTATCAGTATTACAATAATAAAACAATATATCAACACAATAAATAAAAGACAGCAAGATCACAAATACCACGTTCGTCAACATAATATTAATAATAATAATAATAATAATAATAATAATAATAATAATAATAATAATAATAATAATAATAATAATAATAATTTCCTGGATGTAAAAACAAACATGTTTAAAGTGTACTAAGTTAGCTTCCGGCTTCCATATACAACATGAGAAACCAATGATTATCTTTGCAATATCAAATAAACTTCCTGCTATCAAATACCACAGGAGTCTGTAGTTTTATCAATAAAGCTCAACGAAATTTCTGACTACATGAAAAAATCACCTTAACGGTAATATACAATAATATTATTATAATATTATTTTACAATAATATTATTGTATAATACCGTTAAGGTGATTTTTTTCATGTAGTCATAAATTTCTTCGTGCTTTATTGATAAAACTGCAGACTCCAGAGTCAAATACTTTCATAGAATATTCTTGTTTTGTTTTTTTTTTCAAAACACTTAATTATATTCATTATATCTGTGGAAGAAAGATCCCATTTAACTTAAGGAAAGGGAAACGTAAAATCATAGTTCGAAAGAAAATCCGAGGCCACCACCTCCCCACTTCCTTGAAAACTACATGGTCGTCCACTGATAGGAAGTATACAAACATAAACTTCCATTAATAAATAGGTCAAATCCTATTATACAAAACAAACATGGCAGTGATATATTACATAGAAAACTTATAAGCTGATAAGTATTTCTTAAAGTCTCAGAACGTTCTATTCGAATACTATTTTGCTGAATTTGTGACAATACCCAATGGAAATTACATAGCCATGAGGGTTTTTTTTATGTCAAAACATTTGTATACGGAAGATAAATGAGCCAATAACTATGACAACTGCGAAGTAGGCTGACATCAGTATATGAGGGATTTTGCAGCGGCAGAAAATATATAAACAATATGTGAACATCTCTAAATTGCACAATGAATTAGCAAGACTTGTCTCGTGGAAGGTTAGTTGTGTTTTTCAGGAACCTTGGTTTAGGATAAAGTAATTAAAACTGTATCTGGTAAATTATCTTGGAATGTGTACACTAATAAAGATTGCTGTGCCATATTTAGACAGTCAAAGATAAATACTCAGTGCATACTGTATTCAATTATGATTTGTCTTTGTATGGCACCCAAAAAACGAGGTTGAAGACGGAAGCATTTATCAGATGAATTAATATATTAGAGAAAATTAGTGTTTTAAATTTAAAAGAACAATTTATATTCAGTATAAAATGAGTAAATGCGCATACATGACTCATGTGACTTTACTATAGGCGGAATCACACCCAGCAGCTACGTTGATACACATAGGCTTATGTTATTGTTAGTACTACGTCCACGAAGTAGTCGTACTATTGAAGTTGTGGTAACTCAGTGAATAGAGCGTCGGGCTCTTATTCACTGGTCGCGGGTTCGATCCCCGCCAGGTCAGCCCGACAATGATAATCGTGCTGCTGATGGAGGTAGTGACGATGATGGAGGTTGAAGTTGCCTATATTCGCAGGGTCTCGTATCTTTGCTTACAATTTACCAATAACTCATACATGTACTATATAAAACTACAAATAGTACATGAAGTATTCACAAGGATATTGTAAGCAATGATATGGCCCCTGCGTTTATATTGTGGATGAACATTATTTTTAGCGTAAATGCATACATTCACGATAAGCATGCATAACTGAAAAGGAAACTGCATTTGGATAAACTTTTATCTTATATTTTTTCCCAGAAACCGAGAGCTGGATGCTAAATGTAACTATTCAACTCGGACAGACACATAGACACCTAATATCCACCTTTAGTCCTAAAATGTAAAAACGTCTGGCCCTAATATTTATGACGTGGGCTTCTTGTGGGTTTAACGCTGTTTTCCAGCACGCAATAGGCTAAACTAAACGACCAGTAAAAAGGGTTGAAACTGTGGTAAGAAACACAAACCCAAAGGAAGATAATGGCAAGCTGTCTCACACATACACATATTTATGGGTAACCCCCACATTATAAACATGAGGGTGGGTTGTCTTGTATTTTAGAAATATACCACAGACAATTTAAAAAAAAATGGTCTGAGTTAAAAACAAAAGTCTTCAGATTTAAGGTTTGGAAAAATGGACACTTTTTGAAGTTTTCTATTAAATGGGCATATTCATCCTTTATACGCGAAGGATGATTCACATGTGTCAAAAAGTAAATATGTGGGAATGAGGTACAAATTGCTCATAACATGCTTATGGATGTTATACATTATGGAAGTTATATTTATTGTCATAACAGCAAAATAATGTACATTTCTCTTCGAATCATTTGAAAAAAATTCATAATGTATTGGTGATTTTTGCTTTTCAATACGGACAGCTATATGAAAATGCTATGAATTGACCAGCTATTGGAGAATTGCGTTTTAGAAGTTATAATCTTAAATGTCACAGCTCAACTCCAAGTATTTGAATATGTTTTGAGCAAAATTCGATAAAAACTAAATTTACAAAGGGCATGACTTTATATTGTAGATATTAAACTTACATAAACATTGTGTTCTTAATTACTTACGGTGAAAATGTCAAACAACACAAAAAATATGGTTATAGACTATTTAGCAACAAAAATAAAACTGAATAAAAAAAATTCAGAATGCCTACATAGTAATTGCAAATGGCGTTTATATGACTCTAAGATGGTATCACATCGCAAAATAGTCAAACGTATGCATAATTTATACAATTTAACTATGCTTTCTTTAATATTGAAGTGCTGTAGTTGCATGTTCAGCATGCAGAAAATGGTAATGTATTTAAAAATATTAATAAATACCATAACTTTCATTTAATAGCTAATTTAGAACAAAATATATTTCTTTTTACTGTGCAAACGAAAACCACCAGTGATGAAACAACATCTAAGTTGGATTATTTTTCTTGGACTGGGCAACACAAATGCTGACTAATTTTCTGATTTGGACCGTGGCTCATTAGACCAAAATTCCAGCAGGATTCGGACTACATTAAATATTTTTTTTAAAAAAAAAATACAATAGAGCACATGTGCCTGGTGTATTTTGGCATTTAGTACTGTTTTTGCCAGCACAGTAAGAGAATGTAAATGGTTGCTTTTCAGCTTTTAAAATTTACATCAGATTATTATTATTAGCAAAAATCAGAATAACATAGATATGAGCAATTATATTAAATTTTTTTAAAAACCAAAATAACTTTCCCATTTTTCAGTAAAGAAGATACATCAACTTTTCATAAATCTGACCAGTACAACTGATGGACATATATGCTGGGAAAAACCTTGGAAAAACCACCTACCGGTAGGAATCTACTGACAAGATTGTTCACATACCCACACTGGTCAAGCTCTAGACTCAAGCCCACACGGTTAGAGGTTAGAAGGTGATGCTTTTGACAGCCCCGCTCAATTTATTTATTATATATATATATATATATATATATATATATATATATATATATATATATATATATATATATATATATAACGAGATTATTAAATTTGTATTGACTGTTATCTTTGAAATGTTCTTTAGTACAATCTTGAACCAGACAACCAACTTATTTTCATTTTAACCTCTGAAATATCTGAAAATATTTAATTTAAAGTGCATATTAAATCCTTATATATAATTGTATTAATACATATATAATACAATACAGCTGTAAGCAATCATGGCAACGTTATTTCAAGTTAGCATAAAATGTTTTGCTCTATAATGGTATTAAATTCAGTAAATTGGATAATGACATCAAATTGATTTAATTATAGCGGCAGCTTTGGTCGATGGACTGATGGTAATTCGCGGTTAAAATGGTCATTTCTGTTTGCAGTTAAATTAAGTAATAGCTTAGCGATGAACTAAGTAATAAAAAAACAGTGATAATTTAAGTTAAAAAGGCATTGAATTATAAACTCAGGGTATACCAAAGTGCCAGCATTTATGTACCCTCTCAGTTTCATAACTGTTTTATTAATAAATTTATTTTAAATATTAATATACTAGTTTTTATTTTTTCTCTTTTACAATTTTAGTTTCAGTTATAATGTGCATACATTTAAATAATATTTTAAATTTAAAATCATTTAAAGTGGTCATTGGTTTTGTCTATAAGTTTTTTTTAAAATTAATATGAGTAACTTGCAGAACATTAAAATATATATTATGAATTCAGAAAAAATAAATAAAGATTAAAAGATATTTCATTTTACAAGGTCCACAAAATTGTATTAAATTAAATCATAAAATTGACAGGATCCCAGTTTATTTTTTTTTAGTAGAATTAGCTCTAATATTATATAGAAATAAACAGGAAAAATAATTTAAATCTAATATTCAGACCAATATCAATAGACAAAAAATAAAACACTGCATGAGACCCGATTTCATGATTTTTATCAGTGTTGGTCATTTAATTATTTCTCAATGATAAAAAAAGTTAATTAAACTGCACAAAGGTGAATAAGCTGCTTACAAAAATATCTAATTACTAAATTGCCTATATAACATAACCAGTCTTACGTTAATTTATTTCACTGTATCACGTGTACAGTTGAGATTTTCTTTGTTTTCTCTGCATAATTTAACTGATTATTTACCTGCGAAATAATGTGAAGTATATTTTAAACAAATTTAAGTGTCACATTTGAATCCTGGACGGAACTTAAAAATATTTCGCACGATCCGAATCAGCCCGTAATTTGAGCGGAATAAGCCTGGACCCTGTTACATTACTGCTAAGGGAAAAAAGAAGCGGCGATATACTTGTTGATTTAGCCTGGACCCAAATCAGCCTATTAGAGTTATTGGATAACCCACGCTTTGCCCCCCCCCCATGACAAATGTTATGTAGCTTGTGTTTTCGACTAATATAGGTAATCGTTCGAATTGACAGCTTTAGACACTGGGACGATGAAAAGAGGTTCCTATATAGACAAGTTCCGGTCACACATTATACTAACTGCATTATTTTTTGGTCATGAAATATTCGAATTCCAATATCACTTTCGTAACTTGGGAACTTCACACACTGCCACCATCTCGTTGCATTCTACATATATCTTTTTAGGCGTATGTAGTTTAAGAATCCAAAACTAAACTGGGATTTTTGTATGGAAAGTTCGAATCTATAAATTATACTCTCGTGGAACGATCGGGTGATGACGTTACGATGATGTGTACCTATATATAGATTACATTGTCATGCGCATGGTATCGTGGAATGCTAACTATAGACAAGGTCAAAAAATAAAATAAACTTAGGCCAGTAATTTAACATTCTTATTATTAGCTTTAAAATATATGACTCGTGTAAAAGAGTTGCATTTGTTTTTAGTACATGTAGTAAAGAATGCTTTTTTTTTATCTGAATTGTTTAATATATGAAAATGGAATGTTTTCTGAATAGTTTTAAAATGCAGAATTCGAAAATGAATTTGTTATATCTTTTGAAATAAATGCACAGTATGCATTCAAGCAAATGCAACAAATTTATTATTGGGTTTTGGTAACTTTTGCAATTTCTTTACTTGACATGATTTCATGCTGAAATTGACACGTTTCTTACCTATGGTTAAATAGAAATGTTGTATGAACAACTGCAAGAATAAATCAACATTTCCTATATTCCAATTCCTTCAGAAACATTTAAGTGCATTTATATCAAGACTCACCCAAAACATTTTGGCATCAAATATATTCATGGGTTGTATACACAAGTGAAAATTATTCTGTTACTTTTATATCAGTAATACATATTCATTACATTATTTTGGTTTTTTTTTTTACATAAATACATCAATCTGAATTCACAATTTAGAAAAGTGTCATTTTAAAAATTTAGGTACAATATATTTTAAGCCAATTTTCATATCTGTAAAATAAAATCAGTAACCAAAACAAACTACTGACAATCATTTTGAGTATAATTGCTCAGTACATAAAGCAGAGGCAAGTGTTAAAACTGAGTACATATTTTTCAGGTTGATTTGGGGTGGCATTAAAGAAAGACGGTAAAAAGAGATACTCTTACAGTTCCTTTAATGATGGGGGATTAAATATGATTCATTTGCACTCATTTTTTGTTACATAAAGCTTTCCTGGATGAGGTGCCTTAAACTAAATAAAGACGGTTTATGGACAAAACCTGTTTCCAAACAAGTATTTAGAGAATTTGGAGGTATACAGTTAATACAAATTAGGAAAAACTAAATTTTAAGAAATCCATAAAATAATTAAAACTATCTTTCCTTGTGATGTTATTTATGCTTTATCTCAATGGTAAAAAATGAACCATTGACTGTTCAGGAGTACTTGTCTCAAGATATTTTAATTCAGTATCTACAGACAATTTTAAATCATATGCAACATGGAGAACAAATAGTGTTGTATGTATTAAACACCTTTTTGATGCACAA